ATGTTGGAAAAATTATCCGTCTGATGATTGAAAACCAAAACAAAAATAGACAAACCCATTTCAAAGACATCCGAATGATAACAGATGCCAACAAAACAAAAGCATATGATTTAATAGATGAGTCAAGCGCTTACTTGCACAATTTTGGCATGGAGATTGTTCCTTCCGACACTTTAGATTTTTATAAAGCGGATAAGTTTTTTATAAGAAAAAGTAAAAAAAATGATGATGAAGTTAGACCATTAACTGATGATAATAGAAGGCTCTATATGCTATTTGCCCTAATCGGTAGTGAAAATGATTCCTTCAGTAGTGTAGAGTCCCTGAAAGAAATGCATATTTTTAAAAACATAGATGTTGATGATTTTTTGAAGCAAGTAAGAAGTGAAGGATACATAATTATTCGAAGAGAAGAGAATAAGGAAGTTTACTCAGTTGGATGGAGATATAATGTAGAGTTTCGGGAAATATTTAATGTAGCCGAATTCTTTGAATTAAAGTTATAAACGATACTGTATTGTTAGTAAATTTATTAATTTAAGATATATTTTGACATTAATATCAATTTCAGATATCATTCAAAATATAGTTTATATCTATACATATTTGCCACATAGATTTCTGGTTGTAGACACCAAAAGAATCATTTTTCAGGCACCTTTTCATTTTTGGATTGTGTTCGCCTCTTGGCATATTTTCTGAACTCCAAATCTTCTGCTTGCTGATGCACAGCTCTGCTCAGTTCGTACTGTGACATGCTTCTTTGTCTAAATTTTTCCTTAGGTATATTTGAAGAAAATTCAAAGTCACTAAAAAACTCAACAGACAGTTTTGAATCCTTTCTTATTTCATCAAAATATTGAATAACAGGCTCTTCTTTTATGATGAAATCAAATTTAATCCTCTTACTCGAGGAGTATGTGCACTTCCTCTTTGCACAAATTGATTTGTATTTGTATAAAAGTTGAAAATGTGCATTGGATAATTTCTGGGGGGCTTCATCTTTGGATTTGATGGTTAGGGTTTCTATTTCATCTCTGCTTTTAGAATATGGGTCACAATGGCCATGACTGTTGTTATAATCAAACTGGTCATCAAAAATACTTGGTTTCTTACATCTCCTCTTGGCTAATGCTCGAGGTGTGCGACCATACTTACTTTCAAACAGTGCATTTGTAAATTCCGTAATCCCTTTTTCTTGTAAGACTTCCTTCTCAAGTGTCTTATCAGACATTATCTTTTCTAAATCAAAAGACTTTGAGCCTGGGGTAGAGTAAAGAGATGATGTTGATGATTCATTCCTATATTTATGGCCTGAATCTGTTGAGAAATCCTGCCTAAGATTGAAATTATTTCCTACTTTTTCAATAAATGTAGGTTCAGTTTGATTAAAGCTCTTGTTTCTTATTATTTGGAATTCACTAGTCCTATTAACTATTGATTGCCCAATAGATGTATTAAAACTAGGTGGGTAGGATGATCGATCACCTTTAACACCACAGTCGTTAAATCTATCATGGTTGCTTATTGATAAATAATCCGACTCAGAAGAACAAGCATGGCATGATTTGCATTCCTTTGGAACCGGATTCTTGGAAATTTGAGAGTATGGCCAGTTTCTGCCTCCAACTGAAATAAACTCCGACATCCTTTCATTCGATGTAGAGGATGATTCATCATCTGTAAAGTCGGAATGGGTCCATAGAGAAGATATATTAAAGGTTTTTAACATCCCTGAATTAAGTATTGTGTTTTCTAATTCATACATTATAGACTCTTGAATAGGCTCGCATTTACGCTCAAGAAAATTAATGTATGTGCTGTAATTTAAGTTCCATCCATTCTGACCACTCTCGAATAGCTTGTTCCTTTTTAAACACTCGATTAGGAGACTTTGATCTTGCAATCCTGAAATTGTTTTTAGAACTTCCAATTCTGAAATGCTGTTTATGCAAGTTTTTAGAAACTTATCAACCAAAAGCTGGCTACAGCCAACTTCTTCCAGGAGGTTCGTGATTTTTATCAATTCTGAATCGAATTGTATTGTGGCTGTTTTGGGAAGAATTTTAACTACTGAAAAAGTTTTGTTATCAATCTTCAGTGTCCCATTCCGCAGAACTATAAACCAAACCTTCTCAATCTGAGAATAGAAAAAGGTTGCGAATGTCCGGGTGTCATACAAATTAAATGCAAATAGGTCTGTTCTAACAGTACTTTTGGAAGAAGAGAGTTTTATTGTACAATTTTTTGTCATGGGGGTGAATTATAGTGGAATTTAATATTGGATCGTAGACCATATCCTTCAATTCAGTGAATTTTATTATGACAATTTCAAACTTAAAATTTCACCAGTTTGTTCCAGACAACTAAAGATTCATTTTCCAAAAATGATATTTATTTCTTGACCAGCCTTTCTATAAATGGTTGATTTATAATCAATACTTAAAGTTTGAACAAATTACTTTGTTTGTTAATATTTGATAAAATTTATTATCAAATGTTTTTAAAATTTTTATCAAACTGAACAAAACCATTTGATAGCTGGTGAATCACAGCCTATGGTTTCATAGGCTGGAAGAAAAAAATTATACTAAAGTGGCTAAAAGTATCGAGCAATAGCTTCTGTAACTTGATATTTCAAGAAATTGATGAAATTAGACTATTCTAAAAATCTATGAACTAACTTAGAAAATTTTTCTGGATTTATCAGAAATAGTAGGAAGCTGATACTTTACTCAACCGCGAGAACTTGAGATATTTGGGAAATATTAAACTTTCCATATTCCATAAAAGTAATTCAAAATAATAAAATTTTCAACAGTATTTATATTAGCTAGTGTTATAGCATTGCAGATTCTTTTTATCTAGCATACTCATCATTATGATTAGTATTGTTGGTCATTGCCCTAGATTATCCAATACCCATCAGGATCAATAAACATTTACGTATGATACAATAGAAGTTTATTCAAATCGCGCTTCATAAACTCCATTTTTCAAGTCAATAAAAGCGAATGACTGTTCTTCAATTGAAGAAATACTAATGATCGTAACTCCTTCGACATTCATGACAAATGGATCAAAATCCTGAGCAATCACAATCACATTTGGTATCTCACTATATATCATATTGCAACCTCCAAACGGATCAGGAGATCTTTGGGAAACATAGCTTTTCATGAATGCTTCTAATGGTTTGTCGTTGCAAAACACCCCAGTTCTTTTGTATTTATATAAATTGAAATCTACGATGGATATTTGCTTGTCAAATAGTTCTAATGTAAACGGATTTGATGAGAATGATTCATTGTCTTTTGAAGGTAAGAATGTTGTAAAGTCTCGTGACTGAAATACTATGATTTCAAAGTTGGGGAAACTATCACGAAGATTTGTAATTTTTGCTAAGGCTGCATAATTATCCACAGATATGACAACAACATCCGGATTCAGATTTGTTAGAATCTTCGAAATAAAATCGATTTGATTTGTAAATTTACTAAAAATACAGATGCTAGGCAATGAATTCTCCAAGAAATTGTTTTGTCCTCTATAAGTATTGCATTCCGGAAGTAATATCTCGTCTACTACAAAGATATTGTTTTTACTTGATTTTTTACCCTGTGCCACAATGCACATGTTTTCGTATAGAAAGACACTATTTCCTATACTATTCAAATCAACACTAACCAAATCGTGATCGTCTTCCATAATATAATGGCCACATCTGTTTGTATAGAAAATTCCATAGATTTTACACAACCTTTCTTCTTTTAGAAGACCTATTTGAACTATGTCGTTTGGTAAATATTTTTTAAAAAACTCGTATTTTTCAGACAAATTATTCTTTCGATATTTCATATCAATGGTTTTAAATGGCAATTTTGAGGCTGCTCTAGAATTTAATATTTCGTCTACCTGGCAAATCTCGATATTCATAGAATTATATTTTGCTTTAAATGTGGCAATAAAGCTTTTGATGGTTTCGTTCGTTTTTAACCTTGAGCTTATGTATTCCATGACTGGCATGGCCATTCTGATCCCATTCTCTATCGTAAATAATTTATAAACATTCTTCATGGGCAAAAGATTACTCGTTTGAAAAAAATCATAAAATAATTTATTTGGAATTTCAAAGATTTATCCTTAAACTGCAGTATTGTTGTACAAAATAAAAAGTTGAATCAGAAATTCTATGATGAATCAAATACTAGAACTTGTTGGTAATATCCCTTATAAGCATCCTCAACAAAAATACTGCAAATCTATTTATTTTTCTTTGTTTCTCCTCGAATCTTTTCAGAAAGTTTTTCATATTTGTCTTTGAGTGCCAGATAAGCTTTTTTGTTATTTTCAATTTCGGAAATCATTTGCTTGTTAGACTCAATCTCTTTCTTCAATGTTTTAATCTCTTCAGACAGCTTTTTGTTGACTTCCTGTTCTTTGTTGTATTTGTCTATGACTCCCTTTAAGAATTCTCCAGAGTCTTTATGCTGTTTTTGAATGTATTTGTTATTATCTTTCAAATTTAAGGAATTGTAAACGAGTTTACTAAGTCTATGCAAGTTGAAGCTTAAAAAGAGTGCAAATGCACTCAAATACAGGTTCCGTTCCGATTGGTATTCTAGGATCTTATTCAGTGTCGTGGAATATTTATAGATGGAATCACAAAACACTACAGCTATCATCACATACAATACATTTAAGATATGGAAAAGGGTCTTCAAGGATGAACTATGCATATAAAGCTGTAAAAATGACTTCTTTACAGTAGTTAGATATGGTTGAAGCAGTACAACATTAAAAAATAAATTTACACAAAGAACAACGTGAATAACTGATGTCTGAATTTCCATTTGGAGGGGGCTTTAAAAATCCAAATAGCTAAAAATAAATTTGCAAAATGTCCTTATTAGACACAAAAGTTGAATCTCAGGCAAAAGGCAGGCTGATATCTGAAACTCCATGCATTACTGTTAAAACTTTGTTTATTCTCCTTCCAATCAGAAAATATCTTCATCATCAGAAAATGAGCTAAGCTCTCCCTCCTCCTCGTCAAAATCTACCATTTCCATTCTATATCTTAAAATACCGCCAATTCCTCCAAATCCCTCCACAAACTGAGTTCCTTCACTACTACTATCACTGACAAAAACCAGCCTACATCCAAAATCACGATAATTTTCAGCTATCCAATCAACAAATGAATCTTCTCCGTGTACTTGATCTGAATTTTCCCAAACAATCAAAGTTTCCACAGCCCCTGATTCTAAAGCATCCATGGTTCCTTGATAACCATAGCAATACTTGCCAGTATCCATATTTATTTCATACAGAAACTGCAGAAGTAATTTCTTCTCCTTTGAGAATTTCACATCTTTCAAAACATCTTCGGATAGCTCTATTGCCTGGTTTAATCCATTTTTACCACCATAATTAGTATCAACTGTATTTATAACAGTTAGACGACTATCAAGCATGACAGACAACTCATTTTTCAAATCTGAATGCCCTGCCAAGACAATCCCATCAACATTCGACACACTACTTGTCAGAAATAAAGCAGTACACAACTCACTAACTTTTTTAACATATGCATGTCTCTTTTCAATTCTAAGACGAGCAAATCTAACAGAACTCTGCCCACCTCTTCCATGTTTCTTGGGCAAATCTACTGAAATATTTTGTAGAATTGTTGGAATATTCCCTTGCAATGTGGCAAAAAGAGCTCCGTGGCCATCAACGACTACAAATCCATATTTAGACTCATCTTCAAAAAGTGCAAGTAGCTCCTCCACATGAAATCTGCTATCACACATGTATAAACTTGTGTTAATAGGCTTTACAGGCTCGATCCCGTACGATACCTTTTTAATCTTATTGTCATCTAGCATCACTTCTCCAACAAATATTCCAAGCCCATTGATGGGTGTCTTAGAATATGCTTTTAGCTTATTCTGTGCAGAGGTGATTGCTCCAAGAACACTTTGACGATTCACTCTCGATTTTATGTTTGTGGCAGTTCCATATTCTTCGGTTAGCATTCTGGAAATCAACGAAATCTGTCCTTTAGGAGGGATAATTATTGAAATCATGCTGGTTCCATTTCCTTTTGAGTCTCGTAAGTTTTTTAGAAGCTTCTTCATTCTGAAGATTTCTATGTCATCGAGTTCCATTCCAGAGCAAAAAAATTATAAAATTAAAAATGGTTTAAGAAGGTTTATGCAAATCATAGATAAAGACGAAGAGAAGTTTTTTTAATAATATATTATGAGAATTCGTGGAAGTATCTTCAAATGATAGTAGTTATAAAGGTATATCTGTATAATTGATCTAAAAACTCTATTTACACTAACATTATTAGGATAACTGTCTTGGCACATTTTAATTTAAACATATTCTAGTGGAAATAGAAAAATATATAACAATATGGGGTTAATGATGTGATATTTCTCGGGAACTCTGCTAATACCAACATTTTCTGATTATTTTAGGAAAAGTTGAAATCATTTATTTAACCAATCTATTAAGTATATATCACGAAAGTCTGTAGGGCATTTCATATCTCCTTGGTAACGATGTAAAGACATTGCTCAGTTAAAAAATCATTCTATTTTCGATATAGCTTTACTAATACTTGTATATACTAAAGTTTCAGCTACCATTTCAAGCCTACTCTGCTCTTTTGGATATTCATGACAAATCACCTATTTCTTATTTAATTTTTACCCTGCCAGGCCTATTTAATTATAAATTTATTGGTTATCTCGACCTTAGTTAAATTCTTAAATGTTGTTGTACATCTCAAATCACTGAAAACCAAAGAAAGATGATGCTTAAATACTTTGAAAGAGAATTTTCTTTCCTTATTTTTATTCCCAATTTTTTTAACCCTTATATATGCGTGAGATAATATCTATTCACATAGGACAGGCCGGTATACAAATTGGTAATGCATGTTGGGAGCTATATTGTCAGGAGCACGGAATTAATCCAGATGGAACAGCTTCAGGGGAGTTTGTAGATGATGATTCCTGCCGATCCTTTTTCTATAGAACATCCAACAATACATTTGTACCAAGGGCAGTAATGGTAGATTTAGAACCCGGAGTAATCAACGAAATTAAGACTGGTGACTATAGGAATCTCTTTCACCCAGACAATCTTATTTGTGGCAAAGAAGATGCAGCCAATAATTATGCTAGAGGCCATTATACAGTGGGTAAGGAAATTCTCGAGCCAGTTTTAGAATCCATCAGAAAAATTGTGGATAATTGTAATGGACTGCAGGGATTCCTTATTTTCCATTCTTTTGGAGGAGGTACCGGGTCTGGATTTGGATCACTTTTGATGGAAGCATTAGCTGCAGAATATGGCAAGAAATCCAAGCTAGAATTTTCAGTATATCCAGCGCCAAAATTGGCTACAGCAGTTGTTGAGCCATATAACTCCATTCTCACAACACATACAACTTTGGAGAACTCTGATTGTTCTTTCATGGTTGATAATGAGGCTATCTATGATATGTGTAAAAATTTAGGAATTGAAAGACCAGCCTATACTGATATTAATAGGATTATAGCTCAGGTTGTATCATCAATTACTGCATCTCTCCGTTTTGATGGAGAGTTAAATGTGGATCTTACAGAGTTTCAAACAAACTTGGTTCCATATCCCAGGATTCATTTCCCATTGGTGTCATATTCCCCAATGATATCATCCACCAGAGCTAATCATGAGGGGCTTTCTGTACAGGAAATTACAAACAACTGCTTTGAACCTCAGAGTCAAATGGTCAAATGTAATATTAAAAATGGGAAATTTATAGCTTGTTGTCTTCTTTTCCGGGGGGATGTCCGTCCAAAAGAAGCCAATCAGGCAACTGCAAATGTAAGGGCAAAAAGAGCAGCCCAGTTTGTTGAATGGTGTCCAACTGGCTTTAAGATCGGAATTAATCGCAAGCCCCCCACTGTTCTTCCAGGCTCAGCTATGGCACAAGTATCTAGAGCGGTATGTGCACTTTGCAATACTACTGCGATTGCAGAAGCGTGGAACAGATTGAACAACAAATTTGATTTGATGTTTTCCAAGAGAGCCTTTGTTCATTGGTATGTTGGAGAAGGTATGGAAGAGGGTGAATTTAGTGAAGCCAGAGAGGATTTGGCGGTGCTTGAAGAAGAATATGCAAGCATTGGTGCTGTTTCTGTGGGTGATGAATATTAAATTCCTTAAATACTCCTTTTATGAATTTATACTATCATGTTAAGACATTGTTATTTTTACAAACTGATGGATTAATTTTTAAAAGAATATATACCTAGTAATTATCACTTTTTGTATTTATTTGCAGCTGTATAAAAATTTAATAAGCTCTTTGCTATCAAGGCCTCCTCTTTCATCTGTAGGGATTAGAAGCAAAGCCTCATCAAGTTCCTCGGGTTTTATGACTTGTGGAGCCATCTTCAGTAAATGTTCCAAATCTCTCATTTCTATGTAATTGCCATAGATTGATTTTATCATATGAGTGGAAATATATGTAGATGCCTTTGCCACCTCACAAAACTCTTTAAAGTTCACAATCTTCACTGTTTTGGTGGTGGGAATAAACCCCAATGAAACTATTTTTTCATAATCATCACTGTGTTCAGTTGATTGAAATTTAGCATACAGTTTGGACCAAAACTCTTCAGTTTGAAATTCACTCTGCGGATATTCAGAAAAATTACAAGGAGTTTTCATGGGTAAAAAAACAAATATTTAAGGAAAACACTAGAATGGAAATAGAGAAATTCTACAGTTTTTTGAAGTCATTATTTGATGACTGTTCTAAAAAACATGATCAGAACATCTTTAAGAGCTTGGGATTACTTATCAATTTAGTTAAAGTGTATCTAGAATACAGAAACTGTATTTTTCTAGCTACTTTGGAAATAATCCATTATCTCTACCAGTTTTATAATAAAACTATCGTCATTTTCAACATTTAAATATTTTTGAACAGTTTGATGGAGCAGCAACATTTGCTCAAAATCACTACATAGTTTATGATATTCGTCTAAATCCACCACATCTGGTCTATGGAATGCTCTAATTTCTCTAATTTCATGAATAATTGCATCAATTGGAATTTCCATTTCCAAATTTCCAAGTTCTTCTCTCAAGGTTTCAATTCTTAATTTTTGATTTACTAGTTCCTTAACAGGTTTTGTTTTAAACCCATCCAGAGAATTAAAATCAAAGGCATCAGCTTTGCCATTAAAGGTATTTATGTTAAGCTGGTTTCCAATAACTAAACAGCAGGCAAAGAAATTTCTTAGCTTAACAGAATTCAAAATATTTTGAAAGATTTCTATGTTTTCTGAAATTATTTTCTGATAATTTCTCATTGTATACAGCTGAGTGAATTTCAAGGCATAAAGAGAATTTTCAAACAATTCTAAATCATCAATTTCATATACAAACTGTTCAGCCTTACTAAAAGTTGATGTATCTCCACCTTTTACATTTTCCAGTTCCTGTGGTGTGGGTAGATACAAGAGGAGTTGTTTTATAACATTTTCATTTGTGTAGTTTCTATTAATAATCAACTCATAAAGTTCCTTATTTGGGGTTTTGACTCTACCAAGAGCAATATTTAAGGCATAGCTTTTCTTTGGGTTCATATATTCAACAATCTTAATTTCATCCTTAATAATCTTCTTTTCTGGCTCAAGCTTGTTTTGTTTCGCCTCGAAGTATTTAAATTCTTCCAGTTCAAAAATAGCCTCTGCATCACGAATATTAATTTCATTAAAGATGCTATTTTTTGATTTTGGAAGTTTTTTCCACCTCAGCCCACAATATGTTTGTTTAGTTTCCAGTTTAGATTTTACTACCGATTTTTTTGCAAATCTACCGGTCTTAGCTTTAGGAGTATCTTTTTTCTTTGGATCAGTTTCATCTAATTTCTCAATGCTAATCGATTCTTCATTGTCAGATGGGGATTTGATCATAGTTCTAACATCTTTCTCAATCTCATTATTCTTTAAGGAAATATTTTGCAATTTTTCCACAATAAACATCCCTGAAGCTGTTGACTTATCTTCATTGCCTATTAAAACTGTTTTTTTTTCACATTTTTCTACTTCATCAGACAAAATTTGATTCAGTTTTTCCAAACCATCTATTTTTATCATCAACTGGTTATTTAATGCTTTCTCAGATTCCAGAGAGCTGATCAATTTCTTTAATTCTGCAGCTTTAACTATGCTCTCCCCTTTCAGATCGTCCAATTCAGTTTTCATTTTTTTGAAAAGTCCCATCTTTGATGTACATTCAGCTCGATCTGAATCATTACATATTGCTTGTTGAGATGGATTGTCATCAGTATAATCCATAATGATATTAGTGTTTTGATAGCTTGATTGTTCCTGCAAGTTATATGTTGCTTCTGTAGCTATCTCTGTATCACTGCCTAACTTTCCATTGTTAGACAGGAAACTAGCCAACTTTTCATAATAGGCCTGGCTCTTAAACTTCTCTTTAACTCCTGTAATATCAATTTCTTTTGGATCAAATCGAGAATCCCTAGAAATATTAAAAACAAAATCCAACTCATTGTCTATAGCCTCTAGAGATAATATTCCTGTTAGAACTGTCTTAAAATATGTGCTTTGGTTCCCTCCTATCTCGAACAATGCATATAAACCACATGAATTATTAAGGTATTTATAAAAGATTGATGGCTCTATTAGAGAATAGCTATTTAAAATAGATATTAAAATTGGTCTCTTAAAATCTAAATATATGAATATCTCCAACAATATATTTAGAAAGTCGCCATTTAAAGACGAGGATGTAGATTCTAGTATTCTAATCCCATCAAATTCTTCAAAAATAGAAATTGCCTTTTCTTTTGGAACTCTAGTTAGGGCCATTTTCAAAAACAAAAGGTTTAGGAGGGATCTTCTACTCTTTAGAATCGAAAGAAGATCGATTATTTTTGCAATGCTATCCTTTTCAGAGTAATTGATTATAGTGGCTGCAATCCTTTCGATGCATCTCTTAATTGTTGTATCCGATTGATTCATTTAGGGTCTGTTTAAAAAACAAAAAATAATATGAATGTGATTGCTATGGAATAGGTAAAATATCTATGCTATTTCACAAAGTAGTATTTTATGAAGACATCATCTTTTCAATATTCACAATTAGATAGTACTTAAAGCGGAATTTTTAAGACCATAGCCATTGCATTCAATTACTAAGATTCACATATCTTGATAAATTTGTATTAAAAATTTTCGAGGGAAAATGAAATATTAGGTTATTAACAATTTTTGCTCACTTGATAAGCATAATTGGGTTTGATGTCTCTGATACAAATATAATTAGCATATACAAGCAAAGTATGACTATTCATTTATAAGTGTACTCTCCATATAACAAATTATAGAGTTTAAAGTTATATAATAAAAATTATTCATTTAATTACTATTAACTACTCCAGGGTAACAAACTCTTAAAATGGTGTTTTTCATAAATCGGCTATCGTGTTCATATACCTATATTATATAGTGTAAATAAAATACTAAATATTTTTCTCACACAAAAAATTACTGTTTTGAAGAATCTAAAACATGAAAACAAATGCTACTGGTATTTCGAATGATATACTCTATAAAAATAGGCATATTTGATGCTGGATCAACAGGCACACGTTTAAATGTATATGAGTTTGAAGGTCTAAAGCTTGTGGGGTATAATAATTATAGATCGGAGGGTATGGATCTCAAGAATATTTGCAAATTTAATGAAAAGTTTCCCAGAGATTCAAACGAAGAGGGCTACCCTAAGAATTCTTCATTTAGCTCACAATCATATACAATTTCCACAAATGGGAAATGGCCTTTGAATATAGAACAAAATAGTTTTCAAAATTCCTCATTTGTGGAAAATGGTGGAATAGATAAATTAGACAGTTGTCAGATTCAGAATACCATGAAATGTCTGATTGATTCCTCAGAATTAAGCAGAAATGATCGGTTAGCATTTTATGGAACAGCTGGAATGAGAAATTCAGACCAAGGTGATGAGATTATTCGAAAAGTTAAGCACTCACTTCAAAAGTTTAATCTGAAAGAAGCAAAGATCTTAAGCGGTAGAGAGGAAGCTTTTGGGATTTTAAAAGCCTTTGAATATTTGAAACCAGAAATGGAGGAATATAAAATAATTGATATGGGTGGAAAATCCACACAAGTAGCAACCAAATTGAACAATGTTATAAAGCTGAAATCTGTTGATAAAGGAATCGTATCAAGCAAGGATATTGAATATTGTAGGAAAATGTCCTTTCAAGTTGATCAACTAGAACAAACTGCTGGTAGTTTAATTCCACCGATTCAATTAAATAATATCAAAAATCACTATGACAAGTATAGTGAAATAAAATCAAATGTTAAGGGGAGTCATTTATTTATCAAGGAATCATCCGAACATGCAGAGCAGAATGTATCCATCTATCTACTATCATTTTACCATGATTTATTTGGAGATATCAACGAGGCCACTACTTATGAAGAACTTTTAAGGCAAAAACAAAAGTTTTGTAATACGGATAAAATTACTGATATTTGTATAGATCATTCATGTAGAGAATTCCTGTATGCCATATCGTTTTTAGACTCTTTAGGAATCAATCCTAATGATCAAATATATGTCATCCAAAAAATCCGAGGAATTAATTTGTCTTGGGCTTTGGGAAAAGCTCTTGATTTGCTTAATCTAAAAGAAAGCAGCTAGCTCATTGTAATGCCATATTTCCACTGTTTTGGATAATTAAACATAATCTTATTCAATGTCGAAATAAATCTTATTTTTAAAAATCAGTGGGGTGTTTTAATTATGATTATTTATTAGATGCCTTAGTCTAAAAATATATATGGCAGAATTAGCCCATATACACCGATATTCATCAGAATTGATACTACGTAAAAATAATTTCTGTCTGAGGAGTTTTCCCATGTTCTCCCAGTCATCAAGCTATCTCTAATAAACATCTCTGATGCTATTCCAGCACATATGAACAGAGGCCATATCAGGTTATGGCTAAATGCAGAAAGCAATACGGCTAGCGGGATATATGCACCGCCTAGGAAAACTATATAATAATTGGCAAATCTATAGTCGTTTAACAGATTACCATATACATTACCACCTACAAACGCATATAAAGCGAAAACTAA